GCTTAATTTGAAAAGCTAAAATAAGACAAGTTGACCTCGGCCCTAGAGGACTTGTGGGTAATAAAGCTCTTAGACCGCACACTGAGATCAGTGTCGTCTTAAACTCCCATCATGCTCTGCTGCCGGGCGAGAGATTTATCCCGCATCTGGAAGAAAGGAAAGTTATTTAGAGTGTCACACACTGGATTAAAAAGATTAGAGGGATTTTATTTGAGAGAATACTGAAATACAAGCACACTCAAATACCTTTAGTAAACATTCTTCACCTTTAGGAAACGCACTCAAGGCAAAACACAACAAGTGTATTGGGATTTTTTTTTTTACAGATATCACCATACTTCTCCAGCTAATTGATTACATTAAGAATTGTAATCTTTTTTTTATATTACAAGTTTACGGAAATGTTATGGTATGATACAAATATGTAAATAAGGCAGTTTCAAATTGAATTTGCACTAATTTACATACATTTTTAGAGAATAAATCTGAAGGTTGGATAAAGCTAGGTTTAAAATTTTTGTTTGATTTTGTTGACATATTAGAGTTAAAGGTTTTTACTGTGGGGATTTTGGAATTCTCATAAATCAGAAAATACTGTCAACAGACAAAATTTTTTTTTTTTTTTTTCGCCATGTTTTTTAGGAATAAAATGTTATGTAAATCAGTGTGAATGATATATGAACAAACCCCTCAGTAAAAACCTTCAGAATATAGAGAGGAATACAACTCTAAGTCTTGGTGTATGTAAGTGCTGCTGAAGTGGAGAAAAAACTCACGGCCTTTAAAGATATGCATTTTCGCCATTTTTTAGGAATAAAATGTTGTATAAATCAGTGTGAATGATATATGAACAAACCCCTCAGTAAAAACCTTCAGAATATAGAGAGGAATACAACTCTAAGTCTTGGTGTATGTAAGTGCTGCTGAAGTGGAGAAAAAACTTTGAAAGAAATGTATTGTAATTGAAATCTGAAGGCGCAAATAGAGAAAGTGTAATAAAATAATTAATCGTTTTGGATGTATTGGTTTGTATTTGGATTTCTTTCAAAAAAGAACAAAATGCATGAAAAAGAACTATGTTTTTGCCTGTGGCGTCTTTTCTCAAGTACATGAACACAAGTGCTTACAGCTACACAAGCTTGATTTCACGACCCATTGCGTTACTTAATGTGTCAGCGTGTAAACGTATAATGCAACGCAAATGCATGTTGCATTCTCAGCATTGCTGCAAGGCTCCCTACAGCAGCATTAGCGTAAACAGTCTTCATGTGCGGTTAATTTCCTCTTTCAGATCAAAAACTTTCATAGCAGAGAAGCAGTTTGAAGAAAATCTTGCTGAGTTAGTAAGTTTAAATTAGTCAAATTATTATCTGACTGACTAATAATAACTGGAAACTTTAACACCCTCTTGAGTACTGAGGATTTTTACTGTCACAGTAACACAAGAACACGTGTTTAGTATGATAACATGTTGGTCAAGCATGTGTGTATTTGTGTAGAGTGTGTTTCTGGTCAAGCACACACAGGTCTCTGATTATGTAACCCTTGGTCCTGTGTGTGTGTGTGTGTGTGTGTGTGTGTGTCCTGGTTTGTCGTCAGAGAGAAAGAGGTAAAGGTAAAGATGGGGGGATGTTAACATGTCACAGGGGCTGATGGGGTTTGATGATAAAAGTCACTCGGAGGCTCTTGACATTTCTAACACAGAACGAGCGGATGGATGTATATCAGAGGCAGAGATCCGTATGATGCCCTGAAGGAAAGATGTTACGCTGGGATGAATGAGTCTGTGTGAGAGAGAACGAGAGCAGAGCAGAGAAACACGAGCACATCAGAGAACAAGAGTTCATTTGTCAAGCAAAAAGGTGATTAAAAATACGGTGATTAGTTACAGCACCTCATACGCACACTGTCATCTATATATTCAAATATTTCAGCATTTGATATGAGGCAGTTGACATGTTATGCATCGTTTAGGTAAACTAAGTAAATGTGTGTGTGTGTGTGTGTGTGTGTGTGGTGTGTGTGTGTGTGTGTGTGTGTGAGTGTGAGTGTGAGTGTGTGTGTGTGTGTGTGTTCGTCACTTCTGTAATCACTGATCAGTGTGTGCTGGTGTTTGAAGGACGCTCGTGATCAGAGTACCAAACACACACACACACACACACACACACACACCCATTCTCACAGCAAAGGTGAACTTCAGTTACACCTTTAATCCAACATCAGTGTGTGTGAATCCCTCCTCTGTCTGTATAGTGTAGATCACAGTGTCATTTTAGTAATATTTATATATACTATTATAGGATGTATTCATATATTGAACTAGCTTTTATTTTGTATTTTCAGTTTTCATTTTAGTTAGATTTTTAGTCATTTATTCTATGTAGCTTTTTTTTATTTTAGTACTTATTTCAGTTAGTTGAAAGTTTTTCATTTTTTAAAATTATTTTTTATGATTACATTTTTTTTGATAATTGTAATTTTTTTGTTTTATTGTTTTTAACATTTAAAAAAACTTTAATTCATTTTTATTTCAGCTTTAATAATTTTTGTACTTCAGATTATTTATTTTAGTGTTTCAAATTAACTACTATTTCTTAGTTGCTGACAAGTAGCTGTTTGCATTATATATATACGTATATATTACATAAACGCAAACTATTTGTAATAGTTTTGGTTTCAGTAAACAGTAACAGTACTGGTTGATCATTAAACTTAAACTAAATTTAAACATACATAAAATACTGAAATACAAAAAAATACTTAAAAAAAGAAATAAAAAATAGTTTGTCATAATGTTAGTTTATGCTGTGTTTTTTGCTTTGGTATTGTATTGCATTGCTGATGTCAAACTTACCTTGAATCATTTGTGGGTCCAGCAGAGTTTGCGATTCTGTGAAGGATGTTTTATATATATATATATATAATTATATGAATCAGACGTTCAGTGGACTTCATGAGAAAGACGAAACTAGTATAGCAGGCGACATATGAACACAAGTGTGAACTGGCTCGTGTGTGTGTGTGTGTGTGTGTGTGTGTGTTTTACAAAGCTCTCTGCCATTCCCTCTTCAGAAAATTGAAAGTGGGATCAGCGCTGCGGGATTGAACCCTGCTGCTTCCGTCAATGATGATCCAACAAGAGAGAAACTGCAGGGAAGCGTCTCTGCTTCAACTCGCCTCTCCACTCGAGTGTGTGTGTGTGTGTGTGTGTGTCGAGAGGGATTTAGAGCATTTGAGAGAGGAAGAGGAGGAAGAGGAAGAGTGGCAGAATGAAGCACCTGCATCTGAAAGTCTCTCTCCTTCTCTTCCCCTGTTCTGTTCTGAACATTTTTGTCCTATTAATTGAGATTTTTGATGCTGAGTTCAAACTCATTTTCTTTTTTTGGAATGTTCTGAACGTAATTGGCGATAATTATTTGTAATTATCTATAAAAACCGGCTGTAGTAAAGCCAACATACACACACGCACGCACGCACACTCACACTCACACACACACACACACACACACACACACACACTCTCACACACACTCTCACACACACACACACACACACACAGTGAGTGCGGTTTTCCTGTCATCAGTTCAGAGATGGAGAGATGAACGATCAGTTTAAAGAGGCCATCCATCATGAATCTGCTTTAAAACTGATGTTTAACTACAAGCCAGTGTGATTTTACTATCATAGTTTTTGTTAATTTTTAAATTCAATTTTATTTTGACATTTTCTGTTTTCACTTTAACTTAGTTAAAGTGTTCATAAGTTTGTTGTGCATTTTTTAGGTGTCTATATAGTTTCTATTTTTATTTATTCATTTGAGTTATTTTTAGTTATAGCATTAGGGTTAGTCAGTATGTCTATTTAATATGTATTGTATTTAATTTTAGTTATTTTAATACTTAGTTAAAATAAACAAAAATGAGAATTAAAAATATTTTAGTTATTTATTTTATTTCTGGTAACAAAAATGTTGTTTGTTAATGGTTTTAGTTTTAGTTAACGATGATAACCCTGCTACAAAAATCTCCTCGTAATTTAAACTAGTTGAGGTAAACTCAAACTGCAGTTAACTACTCTAAAAGCTTCTAATACAAAAGCAGCTAACTAATCTAGTCTGTTTAGTGCCGCAATATCTGTCTAAATAAACAGCCTAATCTGTCTTTGCATCTGCTTTTATAATTTCCTGACACTAAACATGAAGACCCCAGTTCAAGTGACAACATCAGTCGTTAAAGCCATTTTTATTTATTTTTTTAACATTTCAAATTCATTTTGTTTTTAATAATTTTAGTGCTTCCACTTTAACTTACTTCACTTAGTTTCCAGTAAATACTTTTTAAACTGATGTTAGTGTGTGCTGTGTATGTTTGTGCTTACAATATTTATTGCATTGCAAGAACAAACTCAGTTTGAATCATTTATGAGTCGAGTAGATTCAGATGAATCTGTGAGTCAGTTCGTTGAAATAAACCGACTGAAGAGATTTGCTTGAAATGAATCATTCTGATGAGTGTTGTGAGGCTTTTTGGAACCATTTCATGTTACAGTAAAGTCTTGCTGACGGTCAAGTTCATAGCATCGTTAACTTTAGTTCGTTAGTTTGCAGCATTGAATCCACTGATGCGTTCAATGCTTATTTGCTAAAAGCGTTTCTATCTCTGTGTCTCGCTCTCGTCGCCGGTTAATGGCTCTGATTTCCCGGGTAAAGTGGACGTGCTAATGAGCCGTGCTGACGAGGTCAGCGTGCTGAAGGTCAAAGGTCAAACAGTTTCAAAGAGAGATGAGTGATCATGCACGTGCCAGAGGCTTCAAAGACAGAAAACGCGAGACGACGACATTCATTTCCTTAATGGTGTGACATTTGCAGAGGCTCAGGGTTAAACTCATCATAGCTGTATTTCCAGAGGATTCATTAACCTTTGACCCTTCGGATGGTGCGCGGACAATATAAATGATTTATTTGTTTATTTATCTGAGTGTCTGTGTTTTTATTTTCCCAGGATGCATTGCTGCAGTTGGCCTCCGTTGTTGATGTCAGCAGCCTTCAGACGACCATCAAAGATGTGCTCAGAGTTGTCCTGCCAACCGTGGTATGAAACACAGACACACACACGCACACACACACACGCACACAC